TTTCCTATACATACGTATTTATATATACGTAATGCTTCTAATTTATGTGTGGTTGCTTTGTTTGCAAGCGAGAATCTCTAGCCATTCTTGTTTATGTGCTTCTTTTGGCACTTATTTTAAGTTAAAAAGTTAATAATTAAAAACGAAAAACACCTTTCATTCAATTTTTAGATAATTAATTTTTATTTATTAATTTTATTTTTATTTAATAAATTGTAACGAACTCTCAAATTAGCTATAAGCAAATTATTTAAGCCGTAATAAAAATGCTCCCAAAGTCTCTCTCTATATTCTGTTGGACAATCTTTACTGTAATTAATTAATTCAGTTTGTGTACTTAACAACAAACAAAATATAAAAGAAATAAAGAAAATGAGAGAATTTGTTTGATTACAAAAAATCAAACTCGAAATAAAAATAAATAAATAAAAACTGATTTTATTTTGTTACAAAAACAAAATTAAAATCTGATTTAAATAAATAATAATAACATTGAAAATAAATTAAATAACTTACTTGATTTAATTTTTTCGAATTATAATTTGATCAAGTCCAGTGTTTGACACTGTGTCCTTAAGACAAATTCGTCCTCTCCATGGTGTTTTCAGAATTTGGATGTCTATCTCTCAGGATAAAATGATCTACTACAAATAATAACAGCACTACAAATTGTTTGCCTAACGAATACACTAACTGTTTATACTCTCTCTGACAAGAAAATGATGCAGCAAAATGATGAGGATGTTTGCAGAATTATGAAGGACGAAAATTAGAGTTACAAAATCCAAATGAGGGCTGTCCTATTTATAGATGTAATGGTGGCTGTAGGTTTTGAATTGAATAGGTATGAAACCTGTTGGTTTTGAATTCAAATAGATTTGAATCTGTTGGATTACAATTCATACAGATAACAAAAATGGGAAGGGCCCTGTTTGGGTGTACAGTAAATCCGGACCAGTTTAATTCCGGGAAGGGCCATGTTTGGATGTATAGTAAAACCAAACCAGTTTAATTTTGAATTCTGGATTTTATTTTACCAAAAATAAAATTAAATTCAAATATTTTTGGCCCAAAAAAATTAATATTGGGCCGAACAAGTCCAACCCAACCACACACCCATGCCCAGCCCGCCCGGACAACGGCGCACATGTGGTTTTTGGGTCCAATGGGTCTAGCCCATAACCTCTCCGTCTAAAACACTTGGGTAGCCCTTGGGGCACACCCCAAGTACCAAACCCAAGCCTTATAAACCCATTCAAAACTTCCTACCAAATCAATGTGGGACAAGGCATTTTACAACCTTAAGGAATTTTCACTAAAACTCTATTTCCATGGAGCACACTTTGGCTTCAATTTCCCATTCACTCGGTAATGGTTTTGAGCAACCAAATATACCACGTGAATCACAACGCGGCATAGAACGCATTACCACTTTGACCCGTGAAAATCGACGCACGGGGCCCACCTAAAAAATAGACCTACCCAGAATTTATAACCATTTCTAACATATTCGAATATGTATGTATACATACATGAACGAGTTCAGATTCTCTATGTGAAGTAGAACCAAAACGATCTCATTTGGGTTAGTGAAAAAAAAAAAAAAAAAAGAGGCCAAAGATTTCAAATTATTCCAATTTAGATTCTGAGATTTCAACTTTTCTCAACTCACATTCAAGAAAAAATTCAATTCTAAATTTTTCCAACTCACATTCAAGAAAAAGCGCAATTTCTTCTCAAAATATGAATTTTTAGAGTGCAATTCAAAGTACATAACAACAGCACTATGTGATAGTTTCCACATAAGATAGTTGTACGTGTTATGAACAAAACATTGTGAGATGATATCTATGCTTTTGGATATCAATTTTCTGTTCGTTTATGCACACTTTAATGGCTATGAACCATCTTTGATGGTACTGTTTTTTGGTAATTTTGTGCAATCATCAACTAATTAGAAAGATATTTTGAAGCAACATCTAGAAGGTTATTCTCAACGACAAAGGTACAGACAATAACATATATACATACCACAAGTGGGGCACACTCTATGTGTATATTATTTAATAAAAATAGAGGATAAATAAGAGAGTATGCAATAGAGTATGAAAATCATGAATTGTGCAGTTTGTGGATCTTGAGTTGTGATATTGTGGGTACAATTGTAATTTATTAGAAGTATTGAAGTCCAAAACATTGTAGGAGATTGAGACACCAAATTTAGTGCTGACATATTAATTTAATTAGGGCAAATTACAAACACCCCCTCGAGATTTGATAAAAATACAGATTTCTCTGAGGTTTGAGAAATTACAAATTGCCCCCTGATGGTCAAATTTTCATAACAAATTAGAAGAAATTAGGGGGGAATCTATATGAAAATAAAAACCCCAGGAACAATTTGTTATAGAAATATAAATCTCAGGGGGCGGGATGTAATTTCTCAAACTTCAGGAGAGAATTTGTATTTTTACCAAACCTCGAGGGGGTGTTTGTAATTTTCCCATTTAATTAATATAGTGTAAATAGATATATGCGAAGGGCACTGATATTTGTATTAAAAATTACAACTGAATTATGGAAGGTTGCAGTCGGTTTATTTGTTTTGCACTTCTGTAACATAACTAAGTTGTTTTTCAATATAATGATTTTTGGAACAGGATGAAGAAAAAGTTGGGAGTCTTAAGCAACAATAGCAAGACTGTTTGAAACATCGCTTAAAGCAACAGTCCCCGATGAGTTGGATATAGAGCCTTTGATTGTTGCTTGTAATCCAAGATTTGGTGATTACCAATGGTATTTCTCGGTTGCATATATTTGCATGAAGACTTTCCTTTGCCTTGTTGAGACAAGATTGTTTATGGAAATATAATTAAATTGAAGTTTTGGCTTTATTATGCTTCAAAATGCTAAATTGGGAATTTGTTTGGTGCAGCAACAATGCCATGAACTTATGGACAAAAATAAAAAGCACGTAGCCTATGGCTACTGAGAGATGATATAAGAGACCTCCCCCTCCCTTCGGGAAGAGAAAACAGAGAAAATAGAGCCTGGTTCGCAAACCGAGGCAAAGCATGAAAGAGTCCTGAAGTTCGGAGGCAAGGCTCGCAGCCGAGACTCTGAAACCTCTGAACGAGCACAATATGAAACATCACCAAGTGCTCAATCGGTGACGTCTGAGTCTTAAGGTCGGTCAAAAATAGGGTGTCTACAGTTGCCCCTCTTTGACAGAACTCG